TTATTTCAAGGTATGACACTAACAGAATAGGGAGTCTCAACCAGTAAGCACATCCCCGGAGGTGCAGAGAGAAGGGTGTCGGCACAGTTTATATACAGTTCGGATAATATCAAAGCGGTAACATTTAGCACATTCAACACAAAACATGTGTGAAAATCAGATACAATTAAATACAACAATTTATTTAAGCTCGAATTCTGAACCCTGAACCATAGATTCTGGGTTCGGTCCCCAGCAGAGTCGCCAGAGCTGTCACACCTCCTTTTTCTACCTACACCCGCAAGGGCGTAAAGGAGTTTTTCCAATTAAAGGACAATCGGAACAGGATTTAATTATTAATTATTCAGAGTCGCCACTTGAGAGATTAATGGTGTCCCAATTCACCGGTTGAATCCCGAACCGAGAAAATTTATGACTCTGTTAACAGTCTGCGAACCAGAAATCCAAGTAAAGAATTCTGTTAACCCGGGAGAAGGTGTTAGGCATTCCCGGGCTCCGTGGTTCTAGCACGGTCGCTTAACTGTTGTATTTTATTGTATCTAATCTTAATACATGCTAGCTTATGTGTCTTTTATTAATTTTACACTGCTTTATCATTATTTATTTTAAAAGACTTGCGACGTCGTGAAAATGCGTTTCGAACCGCGTCGCAATCAATGCACCCGTGGTTATCGACACATTTCGACTTTGTCGAGATTTGGATTTGGGTCGCATCAATGCGCACCCGAGTTTAAGAAAGTAATTTAATTAAATCGTGTCTAAAGATTCTAACGCAATATTATTTTGGGGAAGGCCGTGAAATTCGCTAAACGGCCCTCCCAAATTCTAAGTATTTTAATGTACTTATTTAACGAGGGCCCCGCAATTTATGTGTTTTGTTTTAGCGAGGCTCATCTCATTTTGTTTTAAAAGGCAAACCTAAAGCACTCTATAATTTTCTACTTAATTGTCTTTATGAATAAAAGTAAAAGTCCTAATTAATTAGCATCATTTAAGAATTACTATTTTGAATCCGGGGTTGTCCATGATTCGAATCTTCAGTAATCTTGGGCTTTTGCAATTAGCCCAAGTAACAAGTAGGTAAGGCATGCTTCGCTTTTGGTTCTGTCCAGCCTTGGGCTTCTAGCATTACCTTTTGGCCCAAGTCAAATGATATCCTCCAGGCCTCAAACCGATTTAAGTTAAAAGGGAGTAGGCCTGGCTGGCCAATATTGAGCCCAAGCTTTCAAACTAAAATCCAATCAGTACAACAATGAAATGTGATTATAGCAATTGGCAATTTACTTTAAACTGGACGTGATAACACTCGGACAAGGACTACCATTAATAGGCTAATTAAAGTATTTAAGGTAAACTAATGGTGATTAACAAGTTAAACCACCAACAAACCACATGTCAGTCATAAACCAATTCTCAATCAATTGTNTTTTTCTAATTTTTATGGAGATGTAAAACTAACATGAAATCCTAGTTATTTCAAAACGAAGACTAATTAATTCTTAAAATTGTTTGAAAACTATTTCATGACGAATTCCCAATAGAAATCATTAAAATGCAAAAATGAACTAATTTTGTGATTTCATGTTTTGTTCTAAACAACTTAAACTTTACTTGATACTAAAAAAACATAAAACTAAAACCTAAATGCAAAAATGCATATTTTTGTATTTTATAAAAATTAATATGCACAAATAGAATGCAACAATTATTAGAAAATGATACCGAAATGCACAAAAATTGTAAAAATAAAGAAAAATTATTTTGTTTGGGATTTTGGGAATAATCATATTTAGGGCAAAAATCACGTGCTCACACGTGGCAGACATCTTACTCATTCTTTACAAAACCACAACGGCATTATCTCGAGGTTGATCACGTTCGATCTTACATCTTCGAACTTCGAACTCTGCCATCAATCTTGAACCCAGTGTACTTCGAACTTATTCCTCAAGTGGTTCCTCAAGCCTGCTAAATCGAGCATACTTAATTTTGACCGTATACACAATCACATCTCAGACATATTACTTCTTTCTCAATATGTACTGCTTTATATTCTAATACCCGGAAGCAAAAACACATACCCTATCGTTGATCCATTGGCGGCATTAGTCGCTGAGGACATTGAGTGAATGACATTAAGGATTCTTTTAGAGGTTATATATCCTGAGATTAATTATCTTAGTATTATTTCTTATTGACTGTTTGGTATATTATATTGACGGTTGTGAGTTCAAGTCTCCCGAAGAGCAAGGGAAGTTCTTGGAGGGAAAGATGCCGGAGGTCTATTTGGAAACAGCCTCTCTACCCCACGGTATGAGTAAGATCTGCATACACACTACCCTCCTAGAAATGTCAATTATAACTTATCCAAGAATTATCATTCCATCCTCTGGTAAGTATAAGTTATCCCGTTATTATTTGAGATTATTATTCCACCCTGACAGGTATAAGTTATTTCTCTACTATTTGGAATTACAATTCTAATACTATTTTTGATCTTGGAATAGCTTATCCTAGAATTATTACTATTTTTGATTTTGGGATAGCTTATCCCAGAATTATTAACCAAACAAGGGATAATCCCAAGATTATCGCAACAAGGCCAAAGCCTATTCCTTTTTCTTTTAACTGATTGAATAACGACCCACCAAGGAAGGATGCCCACTGCACGACTATGCGAATTTAGCATAAGTACAAAATGACTCCAGAAATATAGGCACTTAGAGACATCAAGAACCAAGACATGGCCATGCATCTAGCAGATTTATTTATTTATTTATCCACTTGCATTGGCAAGAGTGGGACAAGAAAAGAGGTAGAAGAAGCTCCATATCCACACCATAACATAAGAGTTGTCAACATATGTTAAAGAATCTAGGTAATTCGAACTTCTATACTGGCTGAGGCAGGCGGACTAAAAGTTGACCGCTCATGACACTGCAAATATGAGAAAAAAAGAGAGGAAATGGATTTTGTCAGATATGCTCAAGAAAGCAATTGAATGGCTGAAGAGCTACCGTGGCTCACCTCTTTATGTAATAATAGCAGAAATCGGCCAAGATAAACGTTTGGACGATTTCTGCCAAAAATACCATAGGTATCCAGAAGTAACCCCGTCCAGCCAAATATAAATATGCTCCACGAGTGTCATAGACCTGTATATGAATAGGTGTAATTCTTAAGTCTCTTGAATTATGGGAAGAAAAGAAAAGGGACGGGGGCTTGGACAAGTGGTCTACTTAATACCAAAGTTGTAGGCCACAAAATAACACTTCAAAACTAACCTGAATAATCCAATGAGCACAACCCAAGAATCTTGCAACACCCAATGCAAACACATAATGAGCTGTAAATGGCTCAATTATCTGAAATGCAAGAATACGAACTATAAGCTCTTCGCGCTACAAAGTAAGGTCTGTAAAAGAGCAGATGATTTTTTCTCAAAAGCTTTCTTTTCTCAGAGGAAAGAACTGAAACAAACCTGAACATTCTGCATCAACCGAAGCTGAGGCAACACCGAGATAGATTCCAGGTATACACAAAAAGCCCAAAGCATTCGGAAGAAGAAAAAATGAGCTGTAGTAGGATGGATAAAAATTGCTGCAACGACGCAAGGCACAATCTGTGCAAAAAGGTCACATGGGAAAAAATGTCACTGCAGCTATTTTACTGGGAACATAAAGGACTTCCAATAATTTTACTGACCATCTTGCATACTAGCAGGCATAGTACATGTATCATGATCAAGAAGGTAAGGAATATATTGTTTTCCAAAAGCTAAAGCAACTTCAACAAATTTAATTCCTAATTCCACATTACAGCATCTTATTCACAAAGCTCTCAGAATTTGCAGTCATAAAACATAGATGTCAACTACTTAACTACTGAACATGCTAGCCTAGTTGCCAGGTACACCATGTAAAGTATAACCCACAGTGAAAACTACAACATATTTGCAAAAATAGAATATTGAAAATGTCAATAATGATGTCGGCAGTACTAGGTTCGTGTTGTATATGCTCTCATTCGGAAATAGCCTCTCTAAGGTTTGCGTACACACTACCCTCCCCTGACCCCACTTGTGTGATGACACTGGGTATGTTGTTGTTTAGGTACATGTTGGAGTTATCCTCATAATGTGAGCTAGAGTATATCAAGGTGGCTACATATTGGCTATAAACTTGTAAACAGCCTTCCAGCTAGTAATTACGATTATCTTATTATTCTCAATCACCAAACGATGTACAAAAACAAATAAATTCACCTTACAAAGTCTTAATGTTCTCCTACATTTTCAACATTGAACAGCCACAGATGTTTCCCACAAAGCAACAGATGCTAGTTGAACATCTAATCATGAAAAAAATTAAGTAATATTACAAGGTCTAATTAGTATAGCAGCAAAACAGAGGAATAGATTTGATTTTCAGGAACTACTTAAAAGGAGTATCAGTGTAAAATTTTATTAAACAAAAGGGAAGGAAGGAGTATGTCACATTAAATCGCTCCAACTCACCCAAAAGAAATGCATTACACAATAATATACATTATATTCTCTCTCTTGTTTAAAACCATTCAACTGACAAAATCTACAAGCGTGCATATACTTTGGCATTATTAACTCATATTTTATTGTCCATGATACATGTACCAAAACATCTTTCAGCGTTTTTTTTTCTTGTTCCCTTAGTAAACAATTTACATCCATCTTAAATATCACAAAATTCTGGAGTGATTCAGTGGCAAAAGGAGGATAGACAAGATCATATTTGGAATAAAACAATATAAAAGATTATGAACAAGGTAACTGAACGCATATCTCCTTTTATGTTCAACGTGTGAATCGCACAAGGAAAAAGCATAAAACTATATTTTGGTTGCAGCAACAATCAGGACAACAGATAGCCACTAGAGAAAAATGTACTTACCAAATACCAATAGTGCATGGTATCGAGATCTGCCATATAGGATGACTTCAACTTGAACTTCATCATATATATTACCCACAATGTTGCCACAAGTGTAACAAAATCTAGAATGGTGTGTATATCTCCTTCCATGATGAAACTACAAAATACTCTCACAGCTAGAAATATCGCCGTAAGCACTTGAGTCTTCAATGAGAGGCCTAATCATAGCAGGTGAAGAAAGATCATCAGATAAATGGTGAAACGTGAAAACCTGAACAATATTTGGAACAAAATATTAAGAATTACAGTGGATTATACTACAATTGAACTACTGCAGTTCTGGCTGTAACAACTTGATCTAGAAATTGCACATTTCACACAACAGGGAGTATGCCTTGTCACCTATAATCTGTCGGAGTAGAGAGGCATACCAGGTATTGACGAATTACTTTGTGTTGGATAATACAAAATTTTGCAAGATTAATCTTAAAAAGTTAAAACTACACCACTTAAGTGCTTTTTATTGCTTAGGCCAATACTGAATCACTATTGAGATGTCACTAAGCAAATATATTGGCACGCGCTAAGAACAGTACAAACCTGCTAGTTCCTTTTAAGGGGGCTCAACGGGTCACTTCTTTTATGTCAACAAGGTTCAAGTTGACATTAGACAAACATCAACCATACATTCATACTGTAACAGCCCACGGACATTGAATTTGAAAGGAGTTCGCTCGAAGCTTGTACGGTAATTGCACAAGATGTAGCAGAGTATAAGGATATTGTAATTTTATAGTTATGTGATATTCCCTATATAACCAATCACCTATCACTAACCACCAAAAAGAAGAGTACAGCAAAAGCCAAGCAAAATCCTAAAATTTTCATTGCTAGATTAATTGTGCAGCAAACTAACATAGAGTAAGGAGTTTGTTTGAAACAGTTACAACCCAAATTTTGGAGCTTGTTCTCTTTTAGGGAAAGATAAATATCTCAATTCAAGATAACAAAGAAGTGGGCAAGAAAGAAGTGAAAGGAAAAACATTTAGAAATACACTTTTAGCTGAGCCACAGTCAAACTGTAGATAACTTAGAAATTGGGTTATAAAGTTATAAAGATGATACGCAGAATTTTAATAATTGAAAAAGTCTTTCTTGTCTAATCTCTATGACGATCAAATAATTCTCCAAAAAAGAAAAAGTTTTCCGTCCAAAAATTTCTTGGTCAACGGAAAATTTAACGGATAGAGGACTGAGAAACGAAGGCTATCAAAAGAAAATCACACATAAAGCAATAAGTTTCAAAATTCCACAGCAGAAAAAAGAGAAAAATGAGAAGAGCTAATCGGGTAAGTAGTACCTGAGCAAGTTTTGAGAGTCGACAACTTGTAAATCAAACATAAGAGTCCGATTAAATGAACAGACTCAGCCAAAACGAAGAAGTGATTGTGATCACGGATGAGTAATTTGAGAGTAACCAGCAAAGTGAGACTTGTGACAAAACCTAAGACAGTCTTGACCTTTTTCGACTGCTTTCGAACCCATAAAAACAGTTTCTTCGCCGGCGTTTGCAACCCCTTCTCACCCATTTCTATTTGCCCTTAATTTCTTCTTAATTCTTTGATCAACTAGAAGATCGGAGAGTATTATTATGTACTATAGTATAAAAGAAAAGGAAAGTGAGGAGTTTTGACTTGGAACGACTGTGGCAATAATGGAGTGGAAGCCATTTATTACCAGTTTACAGTGCCACGAGACTGGTAGCTCATCACTGGGGCACTCAACGATGGTTTACGTACTAAAACCAATCGTGGTTTGACACGCCAAACTAAACCAATCCAAGTGAGACACGTTTCTCTTGGGCGTATTTTAGTTTCAATAAATAAATTATTTTTAAAATTTTCATAAGGTAAAATCTTAATTGATTTTAGAGTATTAAATATTAGGACTTCCTACTTAGTTCAAATAGTATAACAAATTATAACTAAAATTTTAGTTAATTGCAAAATCTTAAAATTTTAAGAATAGTTTAGTATAGTTTTGCCCAATATAAGAACTATTAAAAGCTGCTAAAAACGGAGAAAAAGGTCCAATAAAAGCGAGAAAAAAAGTAGAAGAAATAACTTGACAAAAGGTTAAAGCATACAGTCTAAGAGCCCGTTTGGACATAAGAATTTTTTTTCCTTTTTTTCCAATTTTTTTTTTTTTACTTTTTCTCGAAATCATCTTTTGTTCATAAAATTTCCAATTTCACTTGAAGATACATTTTGAAAATTTTCGAAAATTTGAAAAACTCCAAAAAATATTTTTCAAAATTTTCACTCAAATGACTCACAAAACTTCAAAAACAACCCAAAAACATATTCATTTCCAAACACAATTCTAAATTTCAAATATCATTTTCACTTGAAAAACTTTTTCACCCTGTTTTGAAAATTTACAATTCTTATGTCCAAACGCCCACTATACTACTCAATCAAGCTTTACAATCAAGAATATCAAAGTAAGATGTATTGATTAAATACGTGCATGCAAAATTCAACTACTAATGTAAATACATAAATGCAAAATTCAACTGCTAATATAAAAAAAAAATTGCTCAAAGGAAGAGAACCTAAAACCCTTAATTTTGTAGTTGTTGCTCGAACAGGGCAAAATTATGATGATGAAAAGGTGAAATTGTAACTTCTTTTATAAAATTACACGCATATATAAAATTATGTAAAATTTTTATTAGAAAAAAGACTCTAATAAGCTCTCAAAGAGCTTGTCTTCATCCTATATAATTTATAAAAAAAAACAGTATCAAAAATTTATATCAAAACTTTCCTAGTGTTTGCATGAATTAGTCAAAATTTACGAACTTTTCAAGTATGAAATTTTAATACTCCCAAATATAGTTGAAAGTATCAAAAGTTTCCTAGTATATGAATTAGTTCAAATTTTATTAACTAAAGGAATGCTGAAACCTTCCTACTGTGTGTGAATTAGACAAATTTTTATCAACTAAAAAAGATCTTCCTAAATTAGAAAGAAAAATTTAATAATACTCCTAAATATGGAGTTGGACGAAACCTTCCTATTGTGCAGAGAACGAAAATGTTTCATAGTATGAATGTCAATATTATTATAAATATTAAAAGTGTAATTAAATAATTATTTCTAAATAGTATGGAATTAATTAAATGACTATTTTGTCTAATGTTAACTTTATTTTAAAAAGGATAAAAAAGACGAACGATATTTCGCTAAGGGCCTTCGTGCTTTTAATATAGTACTAGCTTTAGTGTACGTTCGTTGCACGTGTATTTCGCGTCAATGCTTAGCATCAATCAATAAAATATATATACAAGAAGAACAAGTAAATGAAATTATCAAATAATAAGTTTTAAAATACCTACATTAAGATAATAGTTTACAATAAGTAACTTTGTACGTAGAAAAATATAGAGAGTTGTCATTTGTTTAAATGAATATCGAAAGAAAGAAAAATAAGTAATGACAACTCACTGAGAATACATTTTGTCTCTAATGCTTCATGTTATTGTATAATGTTTGTATTTTTAACAATTACCTATAACCGATTATATGATGAATTTTAAAATGAATGACTTGGATTTTCTACACATTAGTAAAATCAAAGACTTTTCTGGTAAGTTAGGACTTAATTATTTATTCTTAACATTAAAGAGAATAATTATTATTCTTAAGGGAATTTTCTCAATAATAATGTTTGATCATATTGAAATCTAGTTTTAAGATACGCGCAATGCGCGTGTATCCTATATCAATAAGTATATATATTTTAAAATTATATAAATATTATTAAATAATATATATGAGTTATATTATAAATTTTAAAAATATAAGTTATTGAAAATGATGAATATTGATCTTATTTAGGCAACAAAATATAAGATGACCTAGCTAAGCATGAAAACAATCAAGATAATTTTGATAACTTAGTGATCTATCATTTATCCTTCTTTTGCTTTAACTTAAAATGAAAATAATTGTCTAGGTAATATGTATTCTAGACAGAGCAACTAAAAAAATTACGACAAATAAATTATGTAGCTAAACAGTAAATATTAATTT